ATTCTTTGGCCTTTTACTCCATGAAAGCTAAAACTGCATTAAATTAGTGGCTACTAAACAGTTTAGCTAGATCCCAAGTTTCCCGAAATATTAGTGACTAATAAAAAAAGCAAGATTCACATTTGTGTGTGCTTTTTTTTAATGTAATGTACTTTGGGCTGATGTATTTATGCTACACCTTGCTTTCTTATATTTGTTGTTTTGGAGTGTTGCAGGATATTCACTCTGTTTCCAAGGAGACCATTTATACCACTATTTATCAGTGTGGCCTTCCGACCAGCTCAGCCAACACTTAACTAATGGAACATTTAAAACCCAGTTCCAGCAAATGTCACTTAATATAGCACTCAAGCAAACCAATGGAATTTAATTCAAAAGATGATCCCTCAGTTGTGAATCATGCTTTGGCATTTAAGCTGGATACCCAATCAGGAAATGCATCTTTGCTTGTGTATAAGAGGTTATTCTGCGTCTATATTAAATTTCCATGGTGAATATTGACACTTAAAATGAAATTCTTTTTATGCAGATCTTTGACCTGTGTAACAAATTGCTCTTCAAATATATTCATTGCTGCAACACTGGAAGCAATTCATTTCGGTATTTCAAGTTGGCCCTTATTGAATTCAAATATACTTCCATGAATGGTTTTCAAGTGACTGATATGCATTTCTAGATTAACTTTAGTTACTTAGAATTCAGGATGTCTGCAGCTTCCCAAATAGCTGTTTAACATAATGCATAGTTATATTCTGATTCATATAAGAGACTGCAGGGGGTTTATTATCTAAACAGTTATATATGGTTAATTGAAAATGAAAAAGAAAACGTTTACATGATATAACCATATGGTGCAACTGAATCCCCATATGCATATTGCTAAGATAAGTGATTTTAAGTAGCCTTGTAAAATTTTAAATTGTATTTTATGGTGTGTGCTGTTCAATAATCAGTATTTTATAGTAGTTGTGGTGCCAGGAGTACCCTGGCTCTTTCCCTAAGTAAGTAGGCAAACCATTTAAGGATGGTTTAACACCTTACCTGTGTTTCTTTGGGTCCCTGTAGCTGTAGCCCTGCTTTCAGAGTCTCATCTGTGAGGTCCATGAATGAAAGTATCAGTTGTGCACGGTTCTGTATTGGTTCCCTCTCAAAGGAATACTACAGTGTCAGGAATACAAATGTGTGTTCCTGTGTCACAGGTGGCGGCCCAAAGAACGGGACTCCTGTATGCCTGATGATGGTTGGAGTCACAGTATGGAAAAGGACTATCAGGGCCTGGTGCAGGGTAACCACACGCCCCCTGGTGTTGAGCACAAGGATTTGTGCGGCCATATACCAGAGCCCCAATGTTGCTTTTGCAGATGCCAGGAGCTTAAAATTATGCATATATGTATCCAGTACTAAAAAATAAGGTAAGACTAGAATAGGCACCAAACAAGATAAGACAAGACTAGGAGAACCCAGAACCAGAACAAGACAGAAAGCAGAACCCAGAACATGTACACAATACATGGGGGAAACAGGAACAGGACAGGACTTACATGAACTGGGAATGCTGGGAATAAAAGACAAGAAATACAAGAGGAGAAATAAGCAAGTACTATATGTGTCATAGACATTGGAGATTTAGACATACATAAATGACCAAGATGTATGCAGCCCACCACTGCGCCAAAGTACTCCAATTACGGTGGGTCCTAACGGCCTAGATATGCATAACTAAATAAACAAAAATAAAACACACACAGTACTAACCTGCAAAGAAAAGAAGCAGAGGTAACGAGACCACTGCTAGCAGGAACAGACTGGGAAAAAAAGATAAATGGCAAAGGAATGGGTGTGGCAACAAACAACTAACATTTAAAGGGACCAGGAGACTGGGAATTCCAGGTTCCATTCCATAGTTTCCATTCCATAGTTTCTAAGATGAATCAGAATGATACCTCTGTTTCTATTCTTCCTTGCCAGTAGAATTAATATAGCAATCACAGTACATGCTTAGTGGTTGCTTTGCTAGGAAGAGCAAAATGACAGCTATGGGAGAAGCAGGAGAAAGACCTATTTAAAAATAAAAAAAGGGTTTCCTTGCAAATCTGCTAGCAAAATGTACAGATTATATTTTAAGATATTTAAAAAAAGCAAAAGTAGTTTAAGGCATGACAGGTACCCTGTAAAAAAATAAGAAGAAAACCGATCTCACGAAAATAGGGATGAGGTTCCTTTCTGAAGGAACGCCAAAATTAATTCTGTAAAATAAGTATTTACATTTTCTTTCAGTATTTGGTCCATATAGCAAGTGAGTTCAACATCCAATTAAATTTGCAAATATTCTGCAACATTTAGATATTACACGTGTTCGTGTGGCCTATGGATGAGGGCAAACAATATGAATAGGTCGGTAAAAAGATGTTACAGAGAATGAATCACTCAAAGTTTCCTTAAAACTTTCAAATATAAATGCAGCCTTAGACTTTTATTTATGTCCTCTGGCCTTTTTGCATAAGCCGTTGATGTCACCATTGATGAAAATTACGTATATCTTGTGTTAAACTTTTTAATGAGATGATCTTTATTTTAAATTTATATAAAAAATTTAGGAAATGGCCTACTAACTGTCTTGATTTTGGTGGGGCAGTCGCTATTTCAGGGGACTGTCCCCAGAAACTCACACTTCTCTACACTACTGTAACAGCACTCACTCCACAGTCCTCTCTTCATGTAGCGGGCCCACATGATTTTTAGTCTGCCTAGCGTGCATTCACAGGACAGTGATGCAATTTGCATCACTGTCCAGCCCCATTTTACCCTGCTCCACCCACCAATGCCTTGCTTTATGGGAAGCTAATGTTGGTGGGTTCAGGCAAGGCAAAGTTAGGCCAACACTTCAAATGAACAGGAGAAATGGAAATATTTCAATCTCATCTTTGCTGTATGCTTTTTTTTTGGCTGACTGCCTCGTACAAAGGACAACACTTATCACAATTATTGACAAGCAGATAAGATGGAGGCAGCCGGCTGCAGGATAAAAAAGGTGTGAATTTCTACATTTCATTTTATTGTTCACACCTCACATGTCTTAAAGGACCACTATAGTGCCAGGAAAACATACTCGAGTCCCCCTCCCGCCGGCTCTGGAAGGGGGAAAGGGGTAAAAACTTACCTTTTTCCAGCGCTGGGCGGGGAGCTCTCCTCCTCCGATCCTCCTTCTCCTCCCCGTCGGCTGAATGCGCGCGCGGCAAAAGCTGCGCGCATTCAGCCGGTCACATAGGAAAGCATTCATAATGCTTTCCTATGGACGCTGTGCGTTCTCACTGTGATTTTCACAGTGAGAAGCACGCAAGCGCCTCTAGTGGCTGTCAATGAGACAGCCACTAGAGGAAATAGGGGAAGGCTTAACCCATTCATAAACATAGCAGTTTCTCTGAAACTGCTATGTTTATGAAAAAATGGGTTAACCCTAGCTGGACCAGGCACCCAGACCACTTCATTAAGCTGAAGTGGTCTGGGTGCCTAGAGTGGTCCTTTAAGTATAGCTATAAGGCAGCATAACATTAAAAATACTGTGAATTGACTGTTTCCTTTTAAACTTTTTTTTGTTGCAGTATATGTAGGCTAAATATAAAAAAAATCTTTAGTAGTTTTTACTATTCTGGAGATCTTTGTTACCATGACTACACTTACCTGTAGAACATTCCTTCACTTTCCAAAGTAGCTGCAAGACTCTACAGCCTGTGTTTTATGTGCTTTATCAAAAATGCAATATATTTTATAGTATTTCTCACCAAACAACAAGAAAATAAATTAGTTAATTTACGTATAGGCACATAAATTTATATGATGTATTACAGAATTCCCACAAAATGTAAAGTTATATGCATATGCCTAAAGAAAGAAATACATTATTTAACTGTTTGATTATCCGAGGGAACACACATTATTATTTATAATAGTGTTTGACTCCTCTTGGTGCTCTCTAAATCTCCATATGATGTTTTTGCACATTGTGATATTTGTCTCCAACCAGGGCCAGATTAAGAGCCCAGTGGGCCTGGTGCTGACAAGTATGAGGGGTCTAAGTACAGAATCTTATCGACCAAAAACTCTAAAACTGTCATACCTCTCAAGAGTTATGTATCTGGTGGAGATGTTGCCGGAGGGAAACTCATAGGATGCAGCTATAAGAAAACTCAGATTCTCTTAAAATAGGCTAATCTCTCTCTAATTCATGCTTTCAAGTAAATCCATACCCCCTAACAGCAGTGTCCAGTGAAGCAGGAAGTCAATGGGCGGTGTGAAAGGGTGGGCCACTGACGCGGATCATGTAACCAGAACCTCCGAAAGGGACGAACATGACCAAAAAGGAGGTGTGTCTGCCCAAAGAATTGGAAGGCTAGCCTGGCATGAATGCATGTCAGGCTGCCTGCCAATCATGCATGCTGGCCAACAGCATCCTGAGCTTGACATAAATGCGTCTAATGATGCACTCGCTCCATGCTTTCTAAGGACTGTCCTCTAGCACTCACATGTCCACTTACCCCCTTACCTTCTTACTAGCAGGCAGAAGCTCCTGGTATACAGTCTGAGACAGAGAAAATTTGGATGTAGTGAGTGTAGAAGAAAGGGACAATGCCACAGTGTTAGAGAGAACAAAGTCAGCATTACCTTAACTAATTTCATTTCTGCTAGTCCACACAAGTTTTGTTTCCATATATCCCTCATACGTTTCCATACTTAAGCAAGAGTATGTGAAGAGTACTTAGGGTTGCCAACTTTCTTGGAAAAAAATACAAGCCTTAATAATTTGCACAACTAATTATGCATGTGTGACATGACATGATGTAAATCACAAGGAGTGTCATAAGAGAAAATTCTGTGAAATCACCTAAAAACTACTTACAGTTTGATTCTGCTGTATAGATGGATTGCTCCAAGTGTCTCTCTATCTCCCAGTGTCCCCATGTCTCCCAGTGTCCCCGTGTCACCAAGTGTCCCCTAGTGTCTGTGTCCCCATGTCTCCCAGTGTCCCCATGTCACTAGAGAACACTGTGAGACATGGGGACACTGAGAGACTTGGGGACACTGGGAGACTTTGGGACACTGGGGGCCAATGAGACTATGTATCACAGTGTCCATGTGTATCACTGTGTCTCAGTGCCCAATGTCTTCCAGTGTCCCTATGTCTCTTTTTCCCTATGTTGCCCTGTGTCCCCATTTTGCCCAGTGTCCCCTAGTGTCTGTGTCTTCATGTCTCCCAGTGTGCCCATGTCACTAGGGGACACTGAGAGACATGGGGACACTGAGAGACATGGGGACACAGACACTTGGGGACTCTGGAAGACATGGAGACACTGAGAGACATGGGGACACAGACACTGGGATACATGTGGACACTGGGAGACATGGGGACACTAAGACACTAGGGAACTGGGAGACATGAGGACACTGAGACACTAGGGACACTGGAAGACATGGGCACACAGACACTAGGGACACTGGGAGACATGGGAACACTGAGACACTTGCTTGGAGAAATGGGGACACTGAGACTCTTGGGGACATTGTGTCCATAGTGTCTCAGTGACCCTATGTCTCCTAGTGTCCCTAAGTGTCTCAGTGTCCCCATGTCTCAGTGTCTCCATGTATGTCTGTTTCCCCATGTCTCAATGTCCCCAAGTTTCCCATGTGTGTCTGTGTCCCCAAGTGTCTGTGTCCCCATGTCTCCCAGTGTCCCCTAGTAGTAAAAGTAAAATCAATGGGCCTATTCCATGGGCTTGGGCTTGGAGCTGCAGCTCCATCAGCCCCTATGTTAATCCGGCCCTGTCTCCAACACAGTTAGTCTCCATGATATTGCCGGCACAGATGCAGGGAAGACCAGATAGACTGGCTGTCAGTTTTCCAACACTGTGCGAAGGATCCTGTTATATTCTAGTAAAGGTTGGAGACGATTTCATACATAAGTGCTACCTATATAGTGGATTATATATATATATATATATATATATATATAAAGAGAGAGAGAGAGAGAGAGAGAGAGAGGGAGAAAGAGAGAGATAGAGATATCTATCTATCTATCTATATATATATATATAGACATAGCAGAAATGACCTCACTCCAAGGACTTTATAGAGATTTTCAAATAAAATTTAACTTTTATTCAATCCATTTAAAACGTCAATGTTTCAGCTCCCACATGGAGCTTTCATCAGGACAAAACATGTCTTGTCCCGATTTCTTTATATATATATATATATATATATATATATATATATATATATATATATATAAAGAAAAAACACTGTACCTTGCACTCAAACTCCAATTTCCAGACCGGGTGCACTCCCAGGGCTCCAAAAATCCAGCTGATTATATCAAAAGGTTGCACTCACGGATTCAGTAAAAAATAACTTTTACAATCATGTTCATAGAATCCTGATGAAAGTCCTCCAGTAGGACTGAAACGTCGATTTTTTTAAGAATACTGAATAAAAGTTATTTTTTACTGAATCCGTGAGTGCAACCTTTTGATATAATCAGATATATATATATATATATATATATTGTGATAAAGTGAAGGCAGATAGGCTTTTTAACCCCAGGGGAAGTATGTGTAGTTTGTGTGTTGCACAACACAAAGCTTTGTTTAGTTATGGGCCCCTGGGGTGGAGCATTTGGAGAGAAGGGTGGGCCAATGCTCCACTCCACAGTTTAGTGGTTTTCTGGGGAGACATAGATCCAGGCCAGGGTTTTTTGGACCGTCTCCAACCCACTGCTCAGCTGCAGTTAATGAGCTGTTGCAGTGGGAATAAACCCCTCCCGGCTAGGCAGGAAAAGGGGAGGGATTGCTGGCTTCCTCCCAGGAAGCAGGTAGGAGAGAGGCTGTTCTCTCCAGATAGAGAGTCAAGGAGACTAGGCACTGGGAGTGCAGAAAGGAAGCAGTCAAGGCTGGCTTGGAGCACTGGGAGTGCAGGAGGAAGCAGTCAAGGCTGGCTTGGAGCACTGGGAGTGCAGGAGGAAGCAGTCAAGGCTGGCTTGGAGCACTAGGAGTGCAGAAAGGAAAGCAGTCAGGGCAAGGCTGGCTTGGAGCACTGGGAGTGCATGAGGAAGCAGTCAAGGCTGGCTTGGAGCACTGGGAGTGAAGAAAGGAAAGCAACAGGCTAGCTAACAGAGTGTTGCTAACTAATAAGGTTGGTGCAGTATGTTTTGTTAGTTTAACCCTGATAGAGAGGGTTATTCAAAGTGAGTCAGTGCTCAGATGAGCTAGGTTTTTGTTTAAAGGGAAACCTGTTATATTTATGTTTTCATTTGCTGCTGCCTCATATGTAAACTTACAAATAAAGTGCCTGGAATGAAGTTGCAGTGAAAGACTGTGCATGTTTTTGCCCTAGAGGACCGTGTTACCTGCAGACAAAGATCACTATATATATATATATATATATATTATTGCTGCATGAGTGCCGCATGCTCATTAGGCTTTCCCCATAGGAAAGCATTGTCAAAGTCCATGAAACTCCAGAAAGTGCCTCTAGTGGCTGTCTGGGAGAGAGGCACTAGAGGCAATCTTAACCCTTTAATGTAAATATTGCTGTTTCTCAAAAAATTCAGCATTTTACATTGCAGGGTTAAGAGAGCAGGAATAATGCACCCAGACCACTTCAATGAGATGAACGGGTCTGTGTACCTATGGTTCCCTTTAAGTTGTGTTAGTACATGTTATAACACCGCTCAATGATTAAATAAAATAAAAAAGGGACCATGCTTCTTATGGAGATTGTGTATTTCATTAACATTTCATGTTGGAGTTTGGTCCTGCTGAGAGCATGTACATATTGGAGTTTGGTGCTCATGAGAGCATGGAAGTTCACTGCTTAGTAAATAGCCAGCCTGCATATTTCTTTGTAACTCCAGCCTGCATGTTGCATTTGCATTTGTGGGTGCCTGGAGTGCCTTTTTAACAAAATAGTTGATAAACTACTAATGCTATGTCAACGTGTGTGGCATCTAATCTGCCTGGCGCGACCGCTAGGCAGATTAGACGCCACCTGGGGCACATAGGCCCAGGGGCACAATGTCCGGCTGAGCGGCAGGAGGGGAGCACACTGCACAGCGCTACTGTCCTGCTGGTCTCTGGGTCTAGCATGGCCATGCAGGAACAGTGGGAGCTTGTTTCCATCTCCCTGATCAATCTCACAGGAAGTGCACACAGGGGTGCCAAAATACTTCCTGTCAGACTGGGAGAGGGATACAAGCTCCTCTCCAGCAGTCACATGCTAGGCTACACTATTACATGGAGAAGGTGAGTGGACTGGGGGGGTAACTGAGACTCAAGGAGAACTGGGGGGATTAATTAGACACTAATGGAGGGGTGGGTGGCTTTCAGAGACTAATGGAGTTAATGAGACACATTGAGGGTTGAGGGGATTGCTCAGACACATAGAGGGCTTGGGGAGATTACTTAGACACATGGAGAGGCAGGTGGGGTATTGAGACACATGAATGGGCAGGTGAGGGTTTACTGAGACACATGGAGGACTGAGTAGGATAACTTAGGCTAGGGAGTTATTGAGACACATGACAGGCTGGGGAGTACTGAGATACATGGAGGGCTGGGTTGGGGTAACTGAGACACATGGAGAGGTGGGTGGTTATTTACTGAGACACATGGAGGGCTGGGAGGTTAATGAGACACAAATGGACTGACTGGGGGGCTTACTGAGACACATGGAGGGGCTGGGGGTGTTAGTGAGACCCACGGCAGGGTGGAGGGAGTAATGAGACCCATGGAGGTGTGGGGTTGTTAATGAGACCCATGGAGGGTCTGGGAAGTATTAATGAGTGCCATGGAACGGCTTGGGGGTTAATGAGACACATGGAGAGTCACACAGAGAGCTGAGTGGGGGAAAAGCACACAAATGCATGGGGGGAGAGGCAAACAGAGGGCTGAGAGGGGGAGACACAGAGGGCGGAAGACGATGACAAAGAGATACAAATAGGGCTAGGGAAGAGGCACACAGAAGATTGGGGGAGAGGAACACAGAGGAATGGGGCAAAAAGAGACATGGAGGGCTGGGGGGACAACAAAGAGACACACAGAAGGGCTATGGTAAAAGAGAGACAGATAAAGGCACAGGGGGGGAGAAAGAGACCCACAAAGTGGTTGGGTAACAAAGAGACACACAGAGGTGCTAAGTGGACAAAGAGACATAGTGATGGGCTGGGGAGGACAAAGAGACACAGAGCAAGGCTAGGGAGACAAAGAGACATAGAGAGGGGCTAGGGAGGACAAATAGACACACAGAAGGGCTGGGAAGACAAAGAGACACAGAGGGGCTGGGGGTCAAAGATACACAAACAGAGAGGTTGCAGGTAGAAAGTGACCCACAAACGAGCTGAGTTGGAAGAGACACACAGACGGTCTAAGGAAGGGGAAAAAGAGATACTTAAAGGAGTTGAGAGAAAGAGAGACACAAAGTGGCTGGAAGATGAAACATACACACAAATCTGGCAAGTTTTGTTTTGGGGGTGGACGCAAGTAGCTGGTCTTTGTGAGTATACAATATAACATTTTATTTCAGAGAAATGTATTCCAGGCATTGAATATAATCTATGACTTGCCTATTACTTAAATCTACATAAGTAGGGGAGTCATGATGCTGCCATTAACCTCAACCCTGCCATCACCAATGTCATATTAATTTAGGTCCATTGTGTGTGTGTGTGTGTGTGTATGTATATGTACAATGGCGTACATACCAGGGTCGCAGGGGTCACGGCTGCGACCGGGCCCGGCCCACCAGGGGGCCCGGCCGCCCCTGCGACCCGGTATGTAGCCACAGGGCCAGCCTCTTCCCCTGGGGGGCCCAGGAGCCGACCACCCCAGGGCCCCCCTGAGGCTGGCCCTGCTGACACCCGGATGGCCGGTCGGGCAGGCGGGCGGGCGCGCGAGGGAGCACTCAGTGCTTCCTCTTCAGCTCCCTCGCGCGCCGCGTAGGGATGCCGGAGCCGGTATGTGTCTGAGCAATCCCCTCACTGAGTGCTCCCTCGGGCGCCCGCCCGCCTGCCCGACCGGCCACCCGCCTGCCTG